CAAGAGCAGTACTATGCAATAGAACTTTCTGCGATGAAGAAATCATTTATCTGGGCTGTCCAATATCGTAGTCCAATGTGGCTATTGACCACTTGAAATGTGGCTAGTGTTACGGATAGTTGAATTTTAATTTTTGTAAATAATATTTTATTGTATTTTTAGTGAAAGTTTACAAATAAATTCAGGTTCCCATTTAACAATTTCTACACAAACTGTTCAGTGAAATTGGTCCAGATCCTTTTTAATCAATTTGTCTTTTTTTCTCTAACGTCACACATTCTCCTATTCTGCTATCAATGCTTGTGATAATGGTAGCCTTAATTCTGATCTATCTTTTCTTCCACTGTTTCCCCAAATTTCATTTTTCTTCTTAAAGAACTAGGTTTTACAGACAAGGCTTGGAGTTGGTTGGAAATGTATCTCTCTGGTTGCTCAGTTATTAGTAATTGATTGGATCTAAGGTAATTTGTTTAAGGCTGAGCCTTTTGGCAGTTCACCTACTAAGAAGTTAGAATATTTCCCGATTTATGCTTTCCCTTTGCCAAATTTTTGCTTGTCCTTGTCCTTAAACTATCCTGTTTCCTTGATTACAAGTTCAAAGATGACATCCTCTAAGTAATGATAAGCATTTTCACTCAGCTCCATCCAAACCACAGCATTTTCATGCTTTACAAATCATTTTCTCGTTTATTACATTATTTGGGTCAAAACGTTGAGTATAATCCTAAAGGCAGTCAGATCTTACTTATCATTGTTTCTCAGGCTTGATACATTGACTGCCCTCAGAGGGTGGTATCATTAACCCTATTCTTTCAATACACTACTTGTCTGTCAGTTTGTTGTACTGTGGTGGCTTGTGTGTTGCTGTGATGCTGGAAGCTATGCCACTGGTATTTCAAATGCAAGCAGGGTCACCTGTGGTGGACAGATTTCAGCGAAGCTTCCAGACCAAGACAGACTGAGAAGGACCTGGTGAGATACTTCTGAAAAAATTAGCCACTGAAAACCTATGGATAGCAGCAGAACACTGTCTGATATAGTGCCGGAAGATGAGCCCCTCAGGTTGGAAGGCACTTAAAACATGACTGAAGAAGAGCTGCCTCCTCAAAGTAGAGTCAACCTTAATGACGTGGATAGAATAAAGCTTTTGCGACCTTCATTTGCTGATGTGGCATGACTCAAAACGAGAAGGAACAGTTGCAAAAATCCATTAATTATCGGAATGTGGAATGTACGAAGTATGAATCAAGGAAAATTGGAAGTTGTCAAAAATGAAATGAAATGATTGAAGATCAATATCCTAGGCATTAGTGAGCTGAAATGGACCAGTATTGGCCACTTTGAGTCAGACAATCATAGGGTCTACTACATCAGGAATGACAAGTTGAACAGTGTCACATTCATTGTCAAAAAGAACATTTCAAGATCTATCCTGAAATACAACTCTGTCAGTGATAGGATACTATCCATACACCTATAAGGAAGACCAGTTAATATGACTATTATTCAAATTTATGCACCAACCACTAATGCCAAAGATGAGGAAATTGAATATTTTTACCAACTTCTGCAGTCTGAAACTGATCAAACATACCATCAAGATGCATTGATAAATACTGGTGATTGGAATGCAAAAGTTGGAAACAAAGAAGAAGAATCTGCAGTTGGAAAAAATGGCAATGACATGGGAGATCACACGATAGAATTTTGCAAGACCAACAAATTATTCATTGGAAATATATTTTTTTCAACAACGTAAATGGCAATTGTACATGTGGACCTCACCAAATGGAATACACAGTAAACAAATCAACTACATCTGTGGAAAGAGACGACAGAAAAGCTCAATATTATCAGTCAGAACAAGGACAGGGGCTGAATGTGGAACAGACCATCAATTGCTCATATGCAAGTTCAAGATGAAACTGAAGATAATTGCAAGTCCACAAGAGCCAAAGTATGACCTTCTGTATATCCCACATGAATTTAGAGACCATCTCAAGAACAGATTTGATGCATTGAACACTAATGACCGAAGACCAGACGAGTTGTGGAATAACATCAGGGACATCATACATGAGGAAAGCAAAAGGTCATTAAAAAGACAGAAAAGAAAGCAAATGGATGTCAGAAGAGACTCTGAAACTTGCTCTTGAACACAGAGTAGCTACAGTGAAAGGAAGAAATGATAAAAGAGCTGAACAGAAGATTTCAAAGAGCAGCTCAAGAAAACAAAGTATTATAATAAAATGTGCAAACACCTGGGGAGAGAAAACCAAAGGCAAAGAACATGCTCAGTATTTCTCAAGCTTAAAAAATTGAAGAGAAAATTCAAGCCCTGAGTTGCAATACTGAAGGATTCTATGGGCAAAATATCGAACGACACAGGAAGCATCAAAAGAAGATGGAAGAAAAAGAGTCACTGTACCAAAATGAACGGGTCAATGTTCAACTATTTCAGGAGGTAGCATATGATCAAGAATCAATGGCAGTGAAGGAAGAAGTCCAAGCTGCACTGAGGGTATTGGCGAAAACAAGGCTTCCAGAACTGATGGATACTAATTGAGATGTTTCAACAAATGGATGCAATGCTGGAAGTTCTCACTAGTCTATGCCAAGAATTTGGAAGATAGCTACCTGGCCAATCCACTGGAAGAGATCCATATATATGCCTATTCCAAGGAAAAGTGATGGAATGAAATGTGGAAATTATCGAACAATATCATTAATATCGCATGCAAGTAAAATTATGCTGCAGATAATTCAATAATGGTTGCAGCAGTACATCAACAGGGAACTGCCAGAAATTCAAGCCAGATTCAGAAGGGGACATGGGATGAGGGATGTCATTGCTGATGTCACATGGATATTGGCTGAAAGCAGAGAATACCAGAAAGAAGTTTACCTGTGTTTTACCAACTTTGCAAAGGCATTCAACCGTGTGGATCGTAACAAATTATGGATAACTTTGCCAAGAATGGGAATTCCAGAACACTTTAATTGTGCTCATGTGGAACTCTAGATAGAAAAAGAGGAAGTCATTCAAACAGAATAAGGGGATACTCATGGTTTAAAGTTAGGAAAAGTGTACGTCAGGGCTGTATCCTTTCACCATACTTAATCTGTATGCTGAGCAAATAATCCGAGAAGCTGGATTATGTGAAGAAGAATGCAGCATTAGGATTGAAGGAAGACTCATTAACAACCTGTGATATGCAGATGACACAACCTTGCTTGCTGAAAGCGAAGAGGACCTCAAGCACT